TTTGACCACAGGACTGTAAGTGTCAAAGAAGTCCTCTCCTGCTACCTGGTTAAACCCTTTTGCTACCAATCGCACCTTATAGCGCTCAATGGCCCCGGTGGCCGTGCGTTTGGTCCGAAACACCCATTTGCAGCCAATGATGTTCATATGGGGTTGCGGTGGTACCAAACGCCAGGTGTTATTATGTAAGAGAGCATTAAACTCTTGGTCCATAGCTTCGCGCCAATGAGCATGACCCACTGCCTGGGAATAGCAAGTCGGGTCAGCCACCACATTTAAGGCATGGAACTGCTCATCCGTACCCCGTGTCATGTGCCGAAGCCTCATGACATGATCCCGACTTTGAGGTTGAGCCCGGGTTTTGCGTGTCCTGGCTGGTGCGGTGTGAGTAATAGCCAGCCGTGGGGGCTCCTGAGCAAGCGGTACTGGATTACCGCTGTAGGAGTCAGCATTAGAGGACACGGTCACCTCTGTTGTAGTAGGTGATTGCGCAACAGGTATAACCGCCCAAGGTAGGGGTGGTGGTGTACACGCTTGTGGTGATGAGCCTGTAGCAAAGGGAAAAGTAGATTCGTCAAAACGAACATGTCTGCAAATATAGGTCTTTCCACTTGTCAAGTCTACGCATCGATATCCCCTAAATGAAACAGGGTAACCTAGGAAGACACACGGGGTAGTCCTGTACTCAATCTTATGCCTATTATAGGGGCGTAGATGTGGGTAACAGCGACACCCAAAGACTCTAAGAAAAGTGTATGGGGGATTGACTTTGAATAGTTTTGAGTATGGGCTTTCGAAATTTAATGCCGAAGAGGGTAAGTAGTTGATAAGGCAAGTGGCTGTTTCAAAGGCATAGTCCCAATATTCATGTGGAACTTTACCTCCGGCGAGTAGAGCGAGGCCAGTTTCGACAACATGTCTATTGCGCCGCTCTACTTTGCCGTTTTGTTCATGCGTATAAGCGCAAGATTGACGGTGATTTATGCCAAGATTTTGGAAAGTGGTGTGGAGTTTTCGGTACTCACCCCCTAGATCCGACTGGATAGATTTGATAGAGCGCGAAAATTGGCGCTCTACTAGAACGCGAAACACATCAAAAACTTTATATAAATCTGATTTTACCCAAAGTGGATAAAACCAGCAAAAACCCGAATAATCGTCTACAAAGAGGCAGAAATAACGAAAACCACTAACTGATATTATGGGAGAGGGACCCCAAATATCAGTGTATACTAAGTCTAATACATGTTGACTAGTTCGTGGTACGCTATCTAACTTGAAACGTGACGATTTTCCTAAATGACAAGAATTACAAGAGTCAATTTGGCCATTTTTATTATGTGACACCGGACAGACTTGTAACACTTTATTTAAAGCTTGCTTGTGTGGGTGACCGAGTCTTTGATGCCATATTGTGGGAGTAGCCCGGGAACTGACGAACGCGAAACTCGACCGACACACCGGAAGCTTGTATAGCCCGCCCGATGTGGAACCTCTAAGCAGAACCGCCCGAGTTGTGGAATCCTTCACAATGAAACAGTTACTGTGAAATTCAAAGAAGACATTATTATCTACAGTAAACTTATGAACAGATAATAATGGGACCGAAAGACTAGGAACGTGTAATATATCATTTAAGTGTAAACTTTTAGACTCGGATGGGATTGATGCTCGACCGATTCGTGCAATTTCCAAACCTGCGCCATTGCCCACCCGTAACACGTCCGAACCACCGTACTCCTCGGACTGCCCCATCATCGCCGCGTCACGGGTAGCGTGGGCTGTTGCACCAGTATCCGGATACCAAGTGTCTGCCGGAACGGGATGCGAGGCTGCCGGGGTGTCGCCGGAGATCGCCACATGGGCCTGCGCCGGCGGTTGGGTGGTGTAGCGCTTGTAGCAATACACGGCGGAGTGACCATGCGACCTACAGATCTGGCAACGAGGTCCGCCCCGGCCACCACGACCACCACGCTGTCCTCCGCGGTTTCCGCGTCCGCCACCACCACGCTGCTGGTTTGACGAATGGCGACCACCACTGCCACGCGAACCTCCGCCTCGGTTGGTTCCGGCGTACAGCGCCGTGTGGGAAGCCGTAGCATCAGCACTCGGGAAATCATCCACGAGGATGTATTCGTGAGCCTGCAGGAACTCCGACAGACTGGATAACGTCACCGATGCTCCGGACGCCGTGAGGCTGGTGGCCAACGCCTTCAATTCCGGTCGGAGACCCCTGATTATATACAGGGTCTGCTCCATCTGTGACAGAGGACGCCCGGCCTGGATGAGGGACTCGACAAGAACTCCGGCACGTGCAATGTAGTCGGCGATGGTGGCGTTGCCCTGTCGAAGCTGTTGGAACTGCCAAGCAGATTGATGCAGCGCGCCTCGCTGGTGGAACCGAGCGCAGACGAGATGGCAGCCCAGATGTCAGCGGAGGTATCCCGTCCTAGAGCGAGGTGCAATACCTCACCCGACATCGCAGAGATGAGTAGCGACACTATCGTCTGGTCTTGCTTGATCCAGGCGTGGTACGCCGGATTTGGAGTCAAGGACGCCGGCGTGGTCGATGCAGAACTGCCGGTGGTGGATGGCGCCGGGATCATCTCTGGTGGGCACGGGTGGCTTCCGTCTACGAAGCCGGTGAGCTCCTAGCCGCGAAGAAATGGAAGAAGCTGCATCCTCCAGAATATGAAATTTGTGGATGTAAGCTTCATGGTGACATAGTGATGTGCACCGGTGAGAGCGTTGCCGGCAGCCGGCGTAGGAGAATCGGCGGCGGAGTGAGTACGCTCGGAGGAGTTGGTCGACATATTTGGGTAGGGGAGGGAGATTTCACGGTGGAGATAGGAAGAATTTGGTTGTTTCCGATAACCTGTCGTCTGATACCAGATTAGAGATAATTCTTCGTAGATTAACCAGAGAATAGGAATACAAGAGATATCTAAAATAACTATCTCTAACAGCCTTGACTAATAGACTAGACTCACTACACACCACATATTACATAACTATATTACATGGATATAACATAACAATAATAATAATACTAACAGAAAACAACAAATTGATAACACCAAATTAATTCAAATTTGACAGATTTACAGCACCTCAAGATTCAACATATTATATATGTATCTTTGTATACTATGCATGCAACCGAGACAAAGTCTCAATATTAATAAATTTATACACATGCATAAACATATCCTTGTATTTAGCAAATTATGCTAAACTCAAAAGAATCTCATGCATATCTTCTAGTCATAAGCCAGAATTTAACCAGTAAATAAAATAAAACTTACATTCATGCCGAGGCCAAGACAAATGAAAAGTATTGTACTTATCACATCCTGTAACTTGTATCTGCTTTGATGATCCATCTCTTCCGGCCTTTGATACGCTGAAACCGCACACCCCACCGTGGATAGAACATATCTTATTGATTAAATCATGGCTAACAAAATGATTTATTTAAATAAAATCATTTTACACATCTCACCAATCATCTTGGCACCACTTAATGCCCCATGATTTTAAGTGAATATGAAAGGAAAATGGACAACATACATTTAAAATCCATATGTACAATACATTTCACTACTCCATGCAAAATCTGCTTGAAAATCTTCTTGTACATTAAACATGATAGACCCACAAGTGATTTCTGTCATCCTCTCATCAGCAAATTCGGAATCCCATTCCGATAATATTCCGTGATGAGAATTTATTCTTTCACGCCTAACATCTTACCTTCAAAATTTTTAAGGCAAGACCAATGATCACAGGTTTATAATTTAAAGCTTATAGATTGTTGATTACACGCCTGAAGATATCAAATGATCCAGTTTTTGTTCCTTGTTGTCTTCTGTATTTTTGTTGTATCTCAAATGTATTATAGATTACAAGAACTTTTTCCAACATTTTATCTATCACCCTTTAGTTTGGCCCAACCTTGGATTATGAGTATTTGATCGAAATGTATCAGTAGACCCTAAGTCAATCCTTGAATGATTGCTAGGTCTCTATATATTCCCCAAATTGGACCGAATATCATTGCTCCTTGACACCAGAAGTGTAGGAGAACTATCACTGTAGAATATAAGAAACGGCGGAAAGCTAAATCTAGTAATGACACATTGTCAATCATGAAATCTCTTAAAGAATTATGTCTTGAAGACGCTCGTCCGAAAGGCAAAAAATCCAGTAACTTATAGGTATACCGAATAATCATAATATTAGGGATGCGGAATGACCAGATTTAAATATCTTTGAGAAATGACTAGAATCTGGTTGACTTACATATTGCCATGAACATTTATGAATTCCACGGAAATTTCCGGCAGTCCATGTATAGATATGTCAGCTCACTGAGCGCCGACATGGCGACCTGGATAATAAATTTTTCTCGAGATCCAAATACTTCAGGCCAACGCATTTATTCAAGTCATCGAAGAGCCGACCGGAAAGTGAGTCGTGCCCGAGAGCGAGCTTCTCAAATCCTGCTGAAATGAATTTGGGGTAACTAAGGCTATTGTAAAATTACCAAAATGTCCACGAATTTAACCCTGGTTTGGGAGAAATCTGACTGGAGGGCCAAATTGACTACAATTTAAAGTTTTGAAAGACCCAATTGATTGAAACTGACAATGAGGGACCACATTGTAGATCGTGCAACAATTGAGGGAACAAAAGTGCGATTTTTTCCAAAAAAAAAAAAACAACACTCTAGACACTGTATATGGCTGGTAAGTTGAGAAATGATGCAGATCATCTTATCAGATTTTCGGAAAATATTATGATGCTCCTTAGCATTCTAGATTGTGGTCTTTGGGACTAGATCTTCATGGCCTCTTTGTAAAAACTCAGGTCATAATGATTGCAATCCAACGGAAAACAGGCTTTAAATAAACCTACACATGCCTGAAATTTTTGAACTAAAAGTCATGGTGGTTGAGCCCTGCAAAATCTGCATGAGATCGATTGGTAAGTTTGTCATAAACTATGGAGGAGGGCCCTCTTGCAGATGGAGGATGAGAAGGATTCGGAGACGTAGATTCCATTCCAAGCGTTTTTAGTAGGAATTGTCTATCCTGAAAACAAATGAAAAAATCAGTGTTAGCATTGAATCGAGTTTAGGTCAGATAGTGAAACAATGAAGGGTGTTACTTACACTTTCTGAAACTTTCGGGCTAGGAATAGCTACTACTAGTGAAATGAACATCGGGGTTACTTAAAGAGGGGAACAACATTCTTCGTTTGAATACTCACATATAGTCTCATTAACGGAATTAATGGTGTGGTTGGAAACCCGAAAAATGATTTCTGGAAATCATTTTCCGGGTTTCCCGTGTTTGGATGTGTTTGGAAAATTAAGTCAACGGAAATCATTTTCCGTTGACTTTGAGAAATATGCTTGTTTTGGAAGAAAATGACTTCCCTTTTTTTTGTTGGGAAACATTTTCCAACTTCTACACCAACACCATATCACCACCACTACCAACACCATCACCACCACCAACACCAACACCATCACCACCACCAACACCAACACCAACACCAACACCATCACCACCATACCACCACCACCTCACTACCACCATCACCTCCACCACCACCACCACCACCACCTCCACCACCACCACCACCACCACTACAAGACCACACTACCACCACCCCCGCCGCCACCACACCACCACCATCACCGCCGTACCACCCTCTATTATTATTATTATTATTATTATTATTATTATTATTATTATTATTATTATTATTATTATTATTATTATTATTATTATTATTATTATTATTATTATTATATAACAAATAATACCAATACCACCACTACCACAACCACTACACCACTATCACCACTACTATATTATACCACTTTTTTTTTTTTTTTAAAGTAACGAAAAACTTTATTAATTTCGACCAGAACGGTGGGAGGCGAAGCCTCTCAAGTCATACATGATTGCCAATTTGGCTTTTATAGGCAAACCATCGATTGAGCTAAAAATTCTTGACGAACTACAGCTAAGTCCAACCTCTGCTAGAGCATCTGCTGCATGATTAGCCTCCCAGTAGATGTGTCTAACTGTAGAAGCCCACGCTTGTAGACAAGAGCGGATATATAGGATCGCTTCTTTAATCATCAACGGGATCCTCGTTGTATCGGAGGTCACCAAGTTAGCAAGGGCCAGGGAATCAACCTCAATCGCATAGGGCCGTTTGGCAAAAGCAGCGCACCATTGTAAGGCATAATGAAGCGCCTTCGTCTCGACCTCCAAAGTTAATGCCGCGTCGTAGAGAAAACATAAACCCACAACAAGTTGCCCGTTAGAGTCACGTAGACAAGCACCTCCTGCGGCTGCATTCGAACAGTAAGTAGCATCTGTATTTAGTTTGAGTTTTCCCGCTAGCGGCGCGAGTCACTTCACCCAAATTGTAGTTCTCCGCGGCGGGGCCACAAATCTAGTTACCAAACCAATAAAGACTAGCAGCTGGGCATGGGAGTCACGTTTTAAGGGTCGAGAGCAAGAAATCAGAAAGACCTCCTGCTTTACCTTTTTTATTACTCCAACTGATGAGAATGGATGGTAATCCTTCATAAAACCATTGATTGTAAGAGCACCATATAAACCAGAGGATAAAGCATGGTATGAGCTGTGCTAGATTGTCCGCTGTTGAACCCGGAGCCGCCATGAGCCACTACGCATAACACTTCGATCGAATAGAACTAGCAGCCGTGTCTGCCATACCAAAAATCCCACGAAAATGTGTGTGACACCCCGTAAATCCAAACGCTAATCGAGGATTAATTGAAGAATTAATCTAAGTTTCCTTGCTAATCTATTTCTAAAAATCCTGAAATTTAATAGTCGAGGGACTAGATTTTGACTAGTCACTTATGTCAAAAGGGTTGTACCTTGTGCTTCTTGAGTTGTGCCCTTGTTCCCTTGTCTTTCCAACATTTGTAAGGGTAGGAATGTCTTTCTACCTAAGAATTGTGACTCAAGCTAACCTAGCAAGACTCTCTCATTTCATTCACCCTTTAACCTAAAACTAAAAAACTCTAGCCTCTCTCTAAAATGATTTAGCTTCTTCTCCAAGCTAGAAATTGAGCATCCAAGCCTTGCAAGATTTTCTTCCAAGATTCCTACTTTCTTCATCTTGAGCATAGGAAATCGTAAGATCCTTAGCTTTTTGGTGTTTTTAACCTTCTTTTAGGTGTCTTTTTCTAAAGTTAGGATCTTTGTTGTGTGTTGTTGTGTGTAAGAAGTTGGTGTGGAAGAGGAGCTCTAGGAAAGGCTTTTAAGGGTAAAAAGAGGAAGTGGTTAGGCTACAAAGGTAACCCATGCTTTACAAAACCTATTTTCTTACTTATATGATGATTATTGGCTCTACTTGTGATTCTTGTGTTGATTTGTGAGATTTGATGCATTATCTTGTGGTGATGCATGTTTAGAGCTTGTTCTTAGGGTTCTTGAATGCCATTACTTAGCTATTTCTTGGATTCAAGTCATATTATTGTTGTGTGTGAGATTTTGGGTGTTTTGGACTTGAACTTGGCCTTGTTGTTGAAAATCCCCGAAGGGATTATTGTATATAGGAGGGTGTACCCGCGGGCGGAACGGCGGGCAGAGGCCTACCCGCCGCCCCACCCGCGGGGAACCGGTGTTCCTCGGGTGTGTACCTGCGGGTGGAACCGCGGGTGGAGGTCCACCCGTGGCCCCACCCGCGGGGTACATTGTTGGTGTTGTGCGGGGATTTGTTCCCCGTGATTCTTTCTTCCCGGTATTGATGTTTTGACCTCCCGATGTTGATTTATTGGGCTATTTGTGAGTCTTCTTGACGTTTCGTATGTCTAGAACGGTGTGTTAGGAATCCATGTAGGATTTGGTGTCTTGAATCGTGCTAAGGCTCCAACTTTGTAATTCGTTGGGCTAATGTGAGTCTTGAATGTTCTTTGGAACTAATTTTGGTTTACCCGTTTGATAAGCATGCTAGTTTGATGTTGATATGCTAGTGTGTGTGGTTTGTTCCTTCTTATTGAGATTGGCAACTTGTGTTGACAATCTTTGGTGTTGGGTTGTAACCCTATGATTGTTGAGTATGGTCTCATGTCTTTATTGTGATCCCTTGATTGATTCCTATGATATGATCGTGTGTAAATCGTTGTACCCTTTGTTGATACTTGATTGAGACTATTGTTGAGTCTTAGTCTTCTTGGTAATGATGATGACCTTGTGTGGCTATGAATGTGATTGGTGGCTTGTTACTTGAGCTTTGCTCACGAGTTAGCGGTTGTGTGATTATGAAATTAATGGTACCCTCGTGTACTGAGAGTTCGGCGGTAATGTGGGTGGTGTAGGTGGGGGGACGATGGTCCCCGGAGGCAAAAGGTTGGACTCAGAAGTACAGGGTGGCACTAGGAGGTAATGGTTGGAACCGAAATAAGGCCGGGGTATGGTTAGAACAGGGCATAAGGTTGGAATTATGAATCTTGTGACATGTAGTTGTCACCGTGACATGTAATTGTCACCGTGACATGTAGTTGTCACCGAGTGAATGTGTTTTCCTTGCTTATGAGCATGTCTTGATGTATTCTACTTTGTGATCAGTACGATGCATCCTGAGTTGTGTTGTCTTTCATGTTTGTGGTCTTGTTGTGGTTGTGAGGATGATGATCCTCGTTTCTATTGAGAGTGATTGATGCACTGCTGGAAATCACAGAATTTCCGACCACCGAAAAGTGGTCGGAAACGCCCTAAATCAGGTCGGAAACACCCTTTCCGACCACTTTTCCGTCCATAATGAGTATCCGGAAAAACCTCCGTCGGTAATTCCGACCACCTGTAAAGGTAGTCGGAAATACCGACCACTTTTGTTGGTGGTCGGACAAAAACGTCCAACCACAAGAATGGCGGATCCGGAATTTCCGACCACCGCGTGGTCGGGAATTGCAGACCAACCACCTCGTGGGTGTTTTTGTTTCCGACCTCTTGGTGGTCGGAAATTCGAATATGTAATTTTTTTTAAAAAATATTACTATTTTGATATGCACTTTTTAACAAATTATATATTACTTTAACAATTTTAAAACAAGTAATAATTGCATAACAATACAATATCACTTCAAAAATTATACATTTCAATAGCAAATTTAGTTACACAATTCTAATATCCACCTCTAAAAAAATTAGTTTCTAATTCTAAAATGCTACTTTACAAATCAAAATACTTCTTACATCACATTAAGCATCACAAAAGAAGTTAGAATCTTTATTTCCATTCCGCTTGCGTAGGAGATTGTGTATCATCATTGAAACCAAAGTCATCTAGCCCAACGCCACTACTTTCATGGCTACCGGCTCTCTGGAAATTAAGATCAGTAGATTGGAAACACTTAATACATATACAGTTACAAATAATATAGAAATGTGAAAACAGGACCATAAAAGTTCATACCTTGCTTGTGTTGACTATATTTTTGGAGGACAACACCAAGAAAGACTATAAGCTCTACAAATAGTTCATTGCTATGCACAAGCTCTACAAATAGACTGACCCAACAGATGAAAATATGATTCAATATAAAAAAGCACAAGCTGAACTTACAAGTTTCATTATCAAAGCTGTCATGCCAGTGACTATGAACTAATTATTAGGAACCATCTACTTTAATTTATAATTATAGTAAAGAGTTAGTGATCTAAGATTTCATGCCATGATAATATCTTATATTAATGAAATTATAAAGGGTTTACCCTGAGAAAGTATATGTTCACATCAGGCTTTTCCAACTGTCATCATGGTGACACTTGGATCAATTTGGGGAGGCAGAGGAATCTGGATTTGATATTTATTCTGATCAACGCTGCAAAATATATCAAAATAAATTAAAATCACCAAAAAGTAGCAGGCTAGAACTCTTACTCCTAGAATAAATAGCTTCCCTATCTCACAGTTCAATCCAAGTAATAACTTAGAACATTCATTTAATGGCTGCACAGCATATAGAATACAGACAGTGAGACATCAATCGCCCAGACCTTTAGCATAGCATATAGGAGGGGGAAAGAGAACATACCCAACTCGCATGCCCTCTTCAATATCAGTTGGTGAAACTTTGTCACCAAATCCAACAATAAACTGCAGCAATAAACTGCAGGAATAAAAAGGGTGTAATATCAGTCAACCAATTGAGACTATTTTCTCAGGTAACTCACTAGCATATACAATTTGTCCCCATATATTGGATAGTGCATACATACTGTGATCAATAAAAGGAAAGCCATCATACCTTTGCTATTTGCTTGACATTTATCACATATTTTGCATCTTCAGTATTAGGACTGATTATTTTTGTACATCTCACCACCTGTCCACAAGCAGCAACTTATAGTTTAAAGTATGTGAGTGATAAAAGAACCCATGTTCAAATCTTGCCCATAGACAAACCTGAAGGGGTTGCTCTTCTTGCATCATTTGCTTATCAGAAACCAAATCCCATTGGCTTGGTGCAGCTAAGCCAGGGTCAGATTCCGTTATACCTAGAGCAACATAAAAATTATTTTCATATATAATATTTTTAAAAAAAAAAAAACCAGAAAAACAACAGGAAATCACTGCTATAAGTTCACTTTTCAACCCAAAGCAATGATCCACCCAACAAGCACTAAAAGCTATTGATATGTTGTAATATTGTATGCCCATGAACCATGAAACACATATTGTATAAGAAAAAAAATTATTTAGACTAAGACCAGAAACATGCCACATAAATCATTAATCTTTTTAGCCATTTCCTTGATTTCCTTTTCAACTTTCTTTATGCTTGTTGAATAAGGTCCCAGGCCCTACAAAAATCATTAAAATATCAAAGATAGTTACTAAGTTACAAAAGCAATTTAATGAAACAAAAAGTTATTAACACAAAATTACTCAGGGAGAATACTACTATAGTACACCAAATTTAGAAATACAGCATTTTGATAGAGTTAGAGATCCCCAACGGAATACACTAATGGGTTAACCTTAGGTCACCTATTGTTGAATGGACATAGACAATAGAGCATGGTTCAACAGGATCAGTTCTACTTTTATATTTCTGGAGTAGCAGACAACCTAAGCTACTGTAGCCAAGAGGCATGAGTGTATGATAGAAATATTGCACATAATTCAGCAATTCATTCACCCTGTGCCCTGTGGGGAGAAAAAGTTATACCTTGAGGCTGCTGGTATAAAAATTCAAAAGCCGATAGCAGAGTAGCACTGCAGATCAGCAGATGCGACACTTACAAAGTGTAGATAAACCTTCATACCAAAATTCACAATTAACAATTCAGGAATTCTAAAAAAAAAAAAAAAATCACAGTATAGTGGACAGAGTTGCTAGCAAAGCTTGAAAAACCCTAGTGGCATGAGCTGATTTAGAAGTAAAACACGGTGGCAAACATCAAACAACTCCACTTGATTACAAAGTCAAGCACAAAAAGGGGAAATCTCGGTCAAATAGAATGCTTGACATAAACAAGAAAAAGATAAACAGTATAAAGAAACTTACAAATACCTTACTTGAAGCAGGTTTCAATTAGGTCAAAAAGATCTTCCACTATTTCATATATATTCAACATCCTGTGCAAAAAAAAAATCTTCTACATACATATAAATATACCTAACTCATTAAAACTCTAAATTAGGTCAACAAATTAAAACAACCCAACATTGCTTACGTGAAGGGCGATGGTGCCGGTGGGTTGCTGCCGCTAGTGGCTCCTGAGTTGGTGCCGGTGCTGGAGGCGTGAAGGAGGAAGGCCGAATGGGAAATTGATGGAGGGAGAAGTGAAGGGCTGCGCTGAGAGTGAGAGAGCGAAGGAGTGAAGGAGGGAAAAGCGAAGGATTGGCAAATTTTTGGGGCAAAATATGAGAATGAGGGAGTGAAAGAGCGAAGGAGGGAGTAGTGTAAAAGGAATGGAGCGAAAATTTGGGCTAAATGAATGGCGCCAATTTGGGGTGAAATCTTAGCCAGATATTTTTTTTTTCATTATTCTAGTTTATCAATTATACTTTTATACTAAAGATATAATTCTCAAACACTAATTAAAATAAATATTAAAATAATTTGTTAAGACCTTTGATCTAATAACAGTAAAGTTACCATTCCATATAGGAGGTTCTGAGTTTGAACTTCATTGAAAGCAAGAGTTAGTAGCATTAAAAAAATATATTAAAGTAATTTAAATATTTAAATTTCAAATCTAAATTAAAAATCACCCCATTACATTGTTTTAAATTTCAAATATTTATAAATGTGTATTTTTTATAATTTTTATAAAGAAATTTTTTATTATAATTATATACTAACGTAGATATTTCTATACAATAGGCTGTAGATGAGGTCAACTAATCTAATACAAGGAGGAGATGAGGAGAGACAAGATCGACGCATCTTGTTGAACCCAGGCAGCGTAGGGCGGGTTTGCAGTGGCGGTGATGGCTGAGACAGCTTCGTCGGAGCCGTCGCCAGCGACAGCCTCCAGAATTGACGACGGGCACGATCGACCACCATCAACAAAACCTAACAAACCTTGGCCACGGAGGAAGGGAATGATTTGGGTACGCCAAAAAAGGTATTTGCGGGATGTTAATTTGATTGAGATAAAGTGGTGGACGGAGTTTAGGGAGTTGGAGGTGGCGGCCGGGGAAGAGATGGTGGTTGCCGTAAGAGTGCGTTCTGATGCACTGGTCGACATTGTCGATTGGAGAAGAGAGAGAAGATAAGTTTGGCTAACTAATACCAAATGAGAATGGGAAAACTATTCAATTCAACAACAGAATCCTGAAAGGATAATACAAGCAAATAGTAACGTAGATGTTCATATACAATAGGCTGTAGATGAGGTCAACTAATCTAAGTCACATATATTATTAACTACACTAACTACTGTTGTCATATGAATGTTTGTATTCTGCGATAAAAATAATATGCGCAGTACAATACACGATGATATACAATACATTATGTAGGAATATGAAACTGAATAGAACTAGGACTGTAGAGTCCTAACAAGAATAAAGGTTTTAAAGAGTTGAAGTTCGAAAATGATTTCATGTATCTATATGGAATAAGCAACATCGTCTTATTTTTCATATCAAGAATGGTGAGTTGGTATTCACTAGTAAACTCTATGCGTTATTGTCGATTGAAATTGAAAAAAAAAAAAAAGTATGTGTGAAATAATCAATTATATATATAAAAAAATCATGTGACCTTCATGGAAAATTATATTGTGCACTAGGGTGCATAATGCATTGTGAGCTCTAAAAGTTTATGTTTATTATGTTAAGAGTTTATGTTTATTATGTTATGAATTGATGTGTATTATGTTAAGAGTTTATGTGTATTATGGGCTTTCATACCATTGAACCACAATAATAATTAAAAAAAAAATATTCCAACTACCTTTACTTTTTGGTTGGTATTTTCTACAACTCCTTAGTATACAAAGTTAAACTTCCAAAAATATTTCATACTTAATATACAAATTTAAACTCCCAAAAAATATTCCGACCACCATCCAAAGGTGGTCGGAATTACCGACCACTAGGGTGGTCGCAAACGAAGTCTAATTTCAAAAATTAAATTTGGCAAAACGTTTCCGACCACAATGTAAATATGAGTCTTTGGAGTTGACTTCTCTCTTTGGTTTTAAAATGATATATATTGTATTCCCGTTCCAAATGGTTTTGATTATATCTAATCTATACTATGCTATTTAACGCGTATTGATGGGTTACTGGCAATATTCACTGACCGGGTGTTATCCCCATGTTTTACAGGTTTTGAGTAGATGCCGAGCGCGCTAGATGTGGACACTAGATAGAGTAGCTACCATGTTTAGACGTTACCTTTTGTTAGCCTGTGAGCCTAGATTAGTGGCCTGTGTGCCTAGACTAGTGGCCTGTTTGCCTAGACGTTTACTGTTTGATGACTTGATAGTTTTTCGCCTGTGCACCTATGTTTGAGATAAGTGTGGCATAACATCTCTCCGGTTTTTAATTAAGTTTCCGTTTTTGTTTATCTTGATGATTAGTTGCTTATCTTTGAAATTAAGCTTTAAAAATGTGGTAAAAATCGGGGGTGTTACAATGTGCCCAAACCTGTTGAGCCTTGTTGTAGCTGTACAGACAATGATCCATCGCAGCAGCTTCATTCCAATAGTGTGGGCAAACAGAGGGTAAGCAGTACCCAAAATGTTGAATAACGTAACGTCTGGAAAGGCAGCAAACGTCGAAGCAATTTCCATATAAAAAAGGAGATCATCGAAGGCAATCCCTTTCCCCAGATGCGTGATGAAGACAGGCTATGGCCAGCTCTTGGTCGGAGCTCGTTATAGAATGTGGAGAAGGTGAAGTCACCTTACGGGGAGGGCGACCAGATCCAGATTCCATCCGAGCCAAGCGTAACACGATTCTCGACAAAATCCCGCAAGGGTTGCATTCGCCTCCATGCGAGCGAAGTGGCTCTCTGGTTCTGATCATCGGGATACCGTGCACGCAGAAAGTCGCTTCAAAGCGAATCCCCTTGAATAAAGTTGAAGTTAAGTTTGGCCAAGAAGGCTCTCTGAATTGAGTCAAGTGATCTTACGCCCAGTCCTCTCGCCCTCCCTCTTCAGTGGGGAAACATAATTTATCCCAAGAAGCCCAATGTCTCTTTGGATTTCCATTCTCCATCCCCCCACAGAAAGTAAGCAAAATGGGATTCCAGAGTCTTTATAGTCCTTCTTGGTAAAAGGACCGAGGCGGCAGTGTAGAGAGGAATAGCAGAAAGCACGTGCTTGATTAGAGTTAGACGACCTCCCGGCGAGAGTAATTTGCGTTGCCAACCAAGCAGTTTACCATCAACTTTTTCAATAAGATGCTGATAATAAATTGGGCGATTTCGGTCTTTGAAAAAATTCACACCTAGATAACGAAAGGGCAGGTTTGAACTTTGCATTCCCGAGATTTGTGACATGTTAGCTGATGTTCTGCTTGTACAAAACCTGGAAGTAACAAAAAAACTTTTGCTGAAGTTGATCTTCTGTCCCGACCCCTCTTGGTACTGCGTCAACACCTCTGCTAGGGCCCTTAGAGAGCTTGAAGCCCCGTTCAAAATATTACAATATCGTCTGCAAAGGCTAAATGTGTGATTAATGGACAGCCCAGAGATGACGAATAAGGGGACAACATTCCAGTCTCTATCTTAAGAATGAGGGAACGGGAGAGGGCTTCTGAGGCAAGGATAAAAAGGAGCGGAGAGAGCGGGTCTCCTTGTTTGACACCTCTAGTTGGCTGGAAGAACCCGCAGCTGAAACCATTCACCAGAACTGATAGTCTAGTGGCACTTAAATTATTCATAACAATGTTAATAAAGGAGGCCGGGAAGCCTAGCCTGAAAAGCACTGCGCGAAGGAAGGACCATGAGACCCTATCAAAGGCCTTCATCATATCCAGCTTAATCACAATATTCGACCCTCGACATTTCTTATCTATATATTGCCAACAGTTCGAACGCCAGAAGGATGTTGTCTTGAATATTTCGGCCTTTAACAAAACCTGCTTGCTCCCTGGAGATCAACTTTGGCAGCATTGGACTCAAACGCGATGCAATGATCCATGTGAAAACCTTGCTGATGAAAGTGCATAAGCATATCGGTCTGTAATCTGCAAAGGAGTCCGGATAGCTCTTTTTTTGTATCAAGACAATCTGCGCACTTGCCAAGGTTCTAGGAACCAGGACCCCTGCAAAGAAATCTTGCACTGCATTATTAACATCATTTAATACCACTTCCCAGCAATGCCGGAAGAACGAACCTGAGAAGCCACCTGGGTCGGCTGCGCTATCTGGATCCAGCATCCAAACTGCAGACTTAACTTCCTCCCATAAAACCAGCTCAACCAGGGTCGATGCCTCTGCAGCGGCTAAATTTGGTGGAAGGGACTGAAGAAGGGCGTCCGCGTCTTGGCAATCTTCAGCAGAAAAAAGATTTTGGAAAAACCTGACTACTTCATCCTGAATGTCTGCCTGGGAGGTGAGAAGAGTGCCCTCAGTGTTTTTTATAACACAGATTCGTTGCCGCCGTTGGATAATCAGCATACTTACATTCTGCCTCGGCCACTCCCGATTCCAGGCTTCTAACTCGATCAAACACATTTCCAAAGATTTCCTTATTCCAGGTGCGCAGAAATTGTTTAAGCTGACGCTTCAATTTAAAAGCTAAAGCGCGCATGCCCCCTCCGTCTGCCGGCAAGTCCCAATTTTGCTTGACCAATGACACGAAGTTAGGATGTGAGAGCCACATGTTTTGAAAATTGTTGTTGTTGTTGTTGTTGTTGTTGTTGTTTTGAATTACAAGATTTTTGGCAAGTTATTTTGATATCTTATTAGTTCTTTTTTATTATATTTAAAATTGTTATTTATATTATTATTTATTATTATACATGTTGTTATATTCTAAATAAAATAATTAAAATGTGTAATTATACAATTCTATTCATTTTCTAGAAAATGAACCAAACACACCAAGACAGTACAGTTTTCCAGAAATGCAACCAAACACCGGAAAAGAAAATGTTTTCTGAAAAATGACTCATTTTCTAGAAGTCATTTTCCTGCTTTCCAAACGGACCCTAACTTTGTCGGAAAGTATCGACCGGAAACTATCAAGTTTTATAAGCTGGAAGTGGCCATTAATCCGATTAAAAATGCCTTGCATAAAGTAGAAGTCTTTCACACCTTGAGAAGTCAAGGCATTATTGCCAGAAATTCCTTTTGCAAATTCATCATCAATGTGGGTTGATTTTAATCCCGATTCAATATCCTGATGCAATGCACATAGCTCGGCTTCACTCTTTTCTCCATTATCACCAATCCCTTGGGCTAGTAAAGTTGATCCCATGCTATACTCCGAGCTGCTTGCAGACTCTTCCAATAAAGCAGGATGCCTGCACAAACCATATATTAGGCTCTCCCATTTTTGTGGACAAACATTCCCGAGTAACATATTTAGCTTGCACGTGACAATACCTCCAAGACGGTTGTCTGCATTCGTTAATATATGCTTTTTAATTCATTTGCAGATTGCTGCTTAAAATTCTCGAGCTGAATCTCCATCTCAGAAATTTGGCATTTCGTCACATCACTATCTTTTGTATGATTAAGAAAATCTTTGAGTACCTGAAAAATATTCTTTTCATATCAGAAGATCCACTGATTGAACCGTTATCATGTGAACAAACAAAAACATACCTTAGCTGAGCTTGTCATTCATCATCTAAAGGTATAGACTCTTCTCCAATGATTTTGAGCTGTATATGAAAAAGAGAATGCAAAATTAGATGAGATCAGACTACCAGAGGGAGAAAATTGCAATAGATTTTGTAAAGAAAATTAGCATGAATAGAAAAATAAATGCATAATAACTAATATAAGAATGAAATGAGATCAGCAGCAGAAAGATGAGATGATTTTGTAATCATTGAATTGAAAAATAAATTTGGAAATTTAAGAATGAATCATGCTAGCTGTACTGTACTAGGTTGCTTCTCACCTCAAAAAATTTGGTTCTATACTCATGGTGTTTAAATACTTCAATACGCTTTGCAGAAGTGATAACGGACGGACAACACCGCTGCAACTCAATTGACTCCAAGCCAAAGCATCCAATCCTCATAGGGATTTCTTCCAAACAATAACAAAATTTTAAGACTAAGTGCTTAAGACGTGAAAATCCATAATTGACCGTCCATTGCTTTAGCTTTTTATTTTCAAGAAGCAAGAATTTTAATTGACAAAATCCTTCTTCTACTTTCCATACTTCTCCATGAAAGGCATTTTCTAATTTGAGAACCTCAAGCTGAGGCAACATTTCAATTGCCTTTAAATCCCTCTCTGAAAGGTCAGTACCGTTCAACCTCAACTTCTTTAGTTGTGAAGGAAACATAGATGGCATTGGAAGGGTTACAACGCAACCAAACGAAACTAAAATTGATAGTCCCTCAAGACGTTCCAAATATTCAAGATTATCCAAAATAATAAGATTATTGCGGGTAAATACAAAAACTTTCAATTTTTCAATGTTTGGAAACCTGCAATATACTCCTGCTCTACAATGAGGTGAACACACCCAAGATAATGTCCGCATATTATCTTTATCGATGCTTGGAGGATCAATCACATAAGATTTGTCAAGTTTAAGATGTCGTAACTGCGGTAACTCCCAAATTGTACAAGGCAAGTGGAGAGTAGGTGCTCCAAATTGGAATTCTTTACCAGAAACAACAAGTGACTGCAAGTTTCGATTGGTTGACACTACATACTCAAGACCCTCAAACCATTCAGATACAGATAGGTATCGCAGAAAAACTAAATCATGTAAGCGTGTTGGCACTCTTTGAAGAAACGAAGATGGAACAAAAGCCAAAATTCTAAGCAACTTGAAAGATACAAATATTTCAGCATCTTCTTGAAAGAAGAAAATGGAGCGAGGGTTGTTTGTTCTTAACAACACATAATAGTCAAATTTATGTGTGTATAAGCTTAACCAGCGGCATGAATTTGCAAACATGCCAAATGACCCTCGTGGAAGTTGCAGAGTATTTAAAGCACAAAAAATGCCCTCTTTTTGAGCTTCTCTTACGCAAAAGCTATGCAAGGCACTATGCATTCTACAATTTTTAATTTTTCCAGAAGAACTCCAAGTGTCGATTAAAATAAGACTTCTATCAATAAATTCTTTTAAATACTCATAAGCTTGACTTTCTAACTCCTTGCCCTCCAATGGATTAATAAATCCTTCAGCAATCCATAACCTAATAAGTAGTTTCACGTTGATTGCACTGCGTTTTGGGAAGACTCCAAAATATAGAAAACAAGCTTTTAAGTATTGTGGCAATTGATTGTAAGTGTGGGTCAATGTCTTCCTATCTAGAACTCCAAGCAACTCTATTTCCTTTGCAACCTTCTTCCATTCTTGTTTTATGTTATCACACTTAGATAGACGTTTTGCAACTACAACAATTGAGTATGGCAATCCTTCGCATATCTCTATAACTTGGCTCCTAATTTCTTGAAATATAGGTGGTGCCTTATGTCTCTCCAATTTTAGAAAAGGGTTATTACAAAATAAAGTCCAACTTTCTTCTGGATTTAGCAATGTCATGTTATGAATAATATTGGTATTTGAGTAAACATAATTACCCTCCCTCCTTAAAAAATGCCTAGTGGTTATCACTATGCGACTTCCATTATAATTGTCAGGAAGACAACTTCTTAGAACATACCAATCTTGATTGTTCCATAAGTTATCCAAAACTATTAGATATCTCTTACCATTCAAGCACTTGAATACCTGGTTAGCTGCTAGATCATCATCATCATCAGGAATCCTTCCCTTTTTTATTTCTTCTGCCTCTGCTAGTACTGTCCAAAGAAGGGTGTGTAGAATTTGGCTCAAGCTGTGTCCATCAGGCATAGAAACCCATCTTCGTACATCGAAATAGGATGCAACTACTGGATCTTGATAGACACTACTAATTAAAGTTGTTTTCCCAATGCCGACCATCCCAACAATTGAGACCGCTTTTAGTTTCTCATCAAATCTCACGAGTTTGTCAATTATCCGCTCACGATCACCGCGTCGACCCACCATAAAATTAGTGGGCTCCGAAGCCGAAGCATGTTTTAAGCAAGGAATCATCAGTAGTGGTCCTTCACTTTCATTCACCACTTCAGTTTCCTTGCTTTTCTCCAGCAACTCCGCTGCGTTTTCTGCTGCTTCTCCCAAGGTTTGATGGAGTTGCTGATAAGCTTTTTGTTGATCCTCTCCGTTCTTGGCCAGAAGAAAGTTGCTTAGTTGCATTTCGATGCGGTCTTCGGCATTCAGTGCAAAGTCTCTGATCTGTATCTCCAGATCTCTGATTGCAGTGCCACCCCTTGCCCCAGATTTCTTCTGCACAAAACCTTGCAAAGATGAAAGCTTTTCATACAAAGATTCCATTGATACAAACCCCCCTTCATCATCAAGAGGAACCCTGCTTGGATTTGGTTGCAGAAACTCTAGCTTAATTGTTGCCATCAGAGAAGTCAAAGCAACACAAGCCATCTCTATAGATGAGATCTCTCTTAGCTTTCAATTCTAAGTATTCAGATAACAAGTTTTTTTTTTTTGCTCTCTTTCAAAATATTCAGATCTGCATGAGTATTGAGTGGGTGTGGCCACAACCCTCCAAACATTGCATAAAAAGACGAAGGTGGTCTCATCTGCTCTGCTTGTTAAAATATTGTTTTAATTTCTCTCTCATCTGTAAAACTGTCTCCGATCCACCAATGCTGCACATTGAAGTATTAATAAATCAATAATGCCAACAACTTTTAAATTAATATATACTGTCCAGGGCACCAATATCAAAATGTCCACTGCCTAGCTAGCTTGCATAATATTAATCACCATCGCCAGACTCCCACCACCGTCACTTCTGCATAATATTAAGGTTATCAATATGTGTGGGGGATACTAAGTAACTCTTTTAAATGGGATGAAATAATATTGACTATTTATACTTCAGTAGACGTACTCTATTTACCATACTGTGGCCTATATGCATGTGCACTTTTTGACCTTGACCTTTACATTAAGTTTTTACTCCTCCCTACTTTAATTTTTAGTAAATGGATTTAAGGGTATTATTATATAAATATATAGTATTAAAATTGTAACTTATGAAATTTATTTATATTTATACTTTGTATTTTTAAATTTAATTTGTAACTTTGTGATTTTTTTCCTTTCTATAATTATAGTTATAGTGAGATTTGTAATATAGATTGATTTGTGATTCATGTCAAATTTTGAATCTATTTCAATTCTATTCGAGTAATTTACTACTTATATTTAAAATGTGTTATTTTGTGAGCTTTTATAATGAGTTATGTATATGTAATATATTTTGTGATTTTTTTATGAAAAATATTTTAAAACATAATTTAATTAGTTTTTTTTTTTAATGAATTATCTAGTTAATCTAGCTAGTTTAATTTAGAAGTCCTATTGTGTGTCATTGTATTCAAATTAATCTAGAAAAATTTGAAATTGATCTAAAAGAAAAAGTATTTATAAATATGATATCAATATAGATGATGTGTGGTTTATTATGTGTTTTTATATATTTAAATTATTTTATCTAATTAATTATGTTTCATATTTTATTATGAATATCTTTTATCACGTTTAGAGTATTTTGATTTTTTTGCTACGAATAATTAAGATTTTATGATATGCTTATATTTGTAAGTTTTGTTTTATAAATTTTTATTAAAAATTACTTTATTATTTGTTATAATAATGTAATTCTCTATAAGCTCATTTGGTTTTAAATTATTTATTTATTTTTATAAACCATAATTCTTTATTTATAAAAGTACTGTTGCGGTTATTGATTATTTTGGATTTAGGAATGCATCTAAAATTGTTTTCATGTATATATGTATAATTGTTAGAAACTTATGGATCTTATCTCAAGTTATTTGACATTAGTTATAAATTGTTTTTGCTTATTTAATTTAAAGTTTAGTTATAAAAATATATATTAATTTAAATTTTAGTTATAAAAAGTCTTTAAAAGTCATGTGATATTCAAAAAGTTATAAATTTGTATAGACTTTTTAATTTTATGGTGATGTTGCAAGTCCAAATAGCTACGAGAGTGATATTTGGACACTTTTGTGCATCCCACATACCCTATGCCTTGTTTAACTCCCTAATCTTTAGTACAATATTTGACATCTTAGCTTGAATCAGCCAAGTCCCGGTCCTTTGTTTGACTTGTTTTATTTGTTATTAGCTTAATCCTATCAAACCAACTCATTAAGGATAGACCTAGCTTCTACAATGATAGTTTTGTTTTGTACTTAACTCTACTTTGAATCAATTCCTAACATTACAAGAGTCATCTCCAGTGGAACGATATCTTAACTCTATACTGTGATTTGATAGTTGATAGATATGTGAAAATCGTCTTTATTACCGTTCCACTGCCACTTGAATCACCTTATTTTGACATTCCTAACTTGAGATATGATCAAAATATCGAAATATCGCTAGCAGAGAAAAACATAGCAGAATGGTGTCACGCTGGTGGTCACACCGAGACCACCAGTCTGATCCATGTTCTTCACTTTAAAATGTATCTTTCTTCATCTCCTTTGTTCCTTTGGGTCTATAGGTCATGTCATGATACTTCCAACTAGTTTTTTTTTTTTTTTTTTTTTTTTTTTTTTTTTTTTTTTTCACTTTCATGACCTCTCATGACTCCCGGAACACGCCTTTATGTCAATATGACTTCAAAACACATCCAATTGAGCTTCAATTTACATGATGTTACAATAATGCCTCCAAATCACCCAAATTACATAAAAGACTCAAATAAGCACATACTATATATAAAAAACAGAATGCAAAGAATGAATTGAAGAAAGTGAAATGAGATATTAATATTGAAGGATATGATAACAAGGCTAAACACATGTAAAGAAAATTATATTGAACAGAAATTGAAATTTATAAACGGAAGTAAGAATGAATCATGTGCTTAAGACATGTAAACACTCTGACCTCAAAATTTTCATTTCCAAACTCTCTGCAGAATCAATGAGGGCACAATAACACTGCTGCAACTCAATTGACTTCAAGAAAACAATATCTTCCAAGATATAAGGGATTTCATCCAAACAATAACAAAATCTGAAGACTAATTAAGTGCTTAATACATGTAAACATTCTGATTCATCATCTGAAGCTATAAACTCTTGTGTTTGTGTACACTCTGATTAGCACAGTAACGGTTTCGGTTTGAATAGAACCGTGGTCACCCTAAGATGGAGAGGCGTAAAGGTTGGAACTTGGTATACGGTTGGAATCTGGGCGTGTCTTGTTGTATGGCCTGGCTTGTTATTGTTGTTACTTTGCTTTGTATTGCATGTTGTGTCTTTATGCTTCATGTCGTGTTGTGTCTATTGTTATGCCTTGAGTCTGATTCCCGGTTTTAAAGCTAGAGTTGTTAGGACTATATTATGTATTCCCAAGTCTCAAAATGGTTTTCTTATATCTATATGTATGGTACTCAACGGGTGGGAGTGACTTGCTTAGCATTATTCGCTAACGGTTGTAATACCGCATGTTTTTCAGGTACTGATTAGTTGATCGAGAGCGCGCTAGAAAGAGTTGCGGTTCCTAGCTTAGTTAGTATTTAGCTTAGTTAGTCGGCCTGTGAGCCATGCTTGTATTCGGATGATGTTTACGGATTATACTTTGTTTAGATAATTTAGCTTGTGCATCTAGGTTCTCTAGCTTAGATGTGGCATAGCACCCCAACTTTAATGTTTAGCTTCCGCTCTGTTTGGGTATTAATAATAGTCTTGCCTTCATTTCATAAGCTTTAATGTTTTAATTTATGTTGAAATTTGGAGGTGTTACAGTCCAGGCTTGCTCCTGGCCCATAATAGCTAATCCCGTTAGGGTAATGGTTACTGAGTTGGTGTTGTGTCCTTGTTTGGGCATATGATCGCTATTGGCTGGCCTGTGTGCCATTTTTTCGGGCCTGCGTGCCATCTTGCTTTATTTTGGCCTGTGTGCCCTTTTGCAGTAGGCAGCCTATGTGCCCTCTTTGTTCTGTTTGGTAGTTGTTTGGTTTTTTGGGGCTCCTATCTATTTATGGATAGTCCTAAAAACATCCATTATGCTGCCGGATTTTTGCAAAATTGGTGCATTGCAAGATCAGCGTGTTTTAGCCAGTCGATAGCCTTACGCCATGGGGTGACATACGTTATGTTGTCAAGCTTCCGACGGCTACCGGTAGACTTGAAGTTTAGAGGAGGATTCTGCATCTCCATTTCTGCAACTCTTTTATTATTATTTTATTTATGTTTAGACCTAGCATATTATTTGGGCTTGCGTCCATTCTTTTATTTTTCTTTAGACCTGGCGTGTTACTTGGGCTTCGGTCCATTCTTTGTTTAAGTTCCTCTAGATTAGTATAGGCTCCTTCTTGAGGCCTCAGTATGTTTTACGGTCACTTTTGGACCATCATTTGTAAGACCTTTTAGTTCCTTTGATTAATAAAGTTTATTGTGGTGTCAAAAAAAAAACAGATAATGAAGATTGAAGAAATTGAAAAATGAATTTTTGTTTTAATAAAAGGAACCAAACACTTCACAAAGACACAAACTGTCAACAATGTGGAGCAAATCATAGTCAACAAAGACTAAAAAATAAAAAAGACTTTCGTTCATACTTTGACCAACACATTGAGATGTTACAAATTATTAACGCCTCCACTGAGGCTCAAACTCGTAACCTTCCAAATGGAAGTCCAACCCGGGTACCATTAGACCACATAGTCTTAATAATTTAGCAGTTTGTCCTTAATAATTTAGCAAATCAAAATAAATTTTTGATGTTTATAAGTAATTGATCAAAAGAGCCACTTTTAACATAATTAAAGGTGAAAAAGTTGTATAGAGCAATAATTTATGGACCGAGTCTACAATTTAACCATAATTGGTGGATTAAAATTGTCATTTTTTAATATATAATTTTTTTAAAAAAAAGTAGTCAAAAATTTAAAATTTTCGGTAAGAAATTGCGTTTCAAAACACATTGGGGATTCAACTAAAAAAAGTTCGTTAATATTATTGATCACCAACAAGCATTGTTGAAAATTTTTAATGGTTAGATTGCCAGACGAGTAGCTAGATTACTTTTAAATGATTGTCATAATTTTTTTTTTGTTAAATTTCGATATGTTGGTGAGGGCGGATGTTTATGCCCGAGGTTTGGCCATCCTCCACTTCATTAATACATTCTTCACTATATATAGGATAAATTGTCTGAAAAACTGAAAAAAGAGAAAGAAAGAAATTTTTTTGTTGCAAGAAAACAAATCAACTTTCATTATCAAAGTAGACAAAATTTTATGGTTGTTAAAAAATTTTCTATCAACATGACTATTATTCTTCCAAAAGGTTGAACCCCAACCCTAAGGGCATCAACATGACTATTATTGCCCGTGAGGGCGGATGTGTATGCTGGTTCTTGCCTCTTTCTCTTCACTATTCCCCTTCTCTCTATCCTACTTAGCACCCAAAAGTCCAACTATTGTGGTTACTCTTAATTAGTATATAATTTCAATGAATACTATTGGCCTTCTTTTCAAGAAAATATTTTATTGAGAAAATTTTGTTTCTCAAATTTGAAGAAAACACATATTCAAGATTTCAATTGATAATCAAAAGCTATAATATAATTATAATACCCCAAATTCTAACACTAGAGCTTATGGATCGTTATAAGCTTAAACAAAAGGATTACAAAAGTTCCAATCATCAAATTAAGATAAAGATTAAAATCCTTAGAACACTCATGGGGATGCTATCGTCGCAACTATCCATTCATGAATAACTGCAAGGCTAATTAATCTAAACAAATAAAAAATACCAGGATAAACAAACGAGGATTCAAAGGACCCTGATGTCTAACCATCATATAAACTAAGAGATAAGGCTATTCCAAATGCAATTAGACGAGAGGGTTCGCCCAGCTTTTGATCTAAGAGCATTATAAGCCGAAGCGAAAGAGAAGTCTGCGAAAGAATCGTCTGATTTGGACATTTCTACACCAAGATATGATCAAGATACTAGACCCTCGACGAGTTGGGTGGGAGAAGAATACTTCATGCTATTTTGCACCAATTCATTCTTCCATAATTATACTTTTACAACTTTGATTGGGTTACTTACACGGTCCGATTGGGCTGCGTATATGAACTAGGTCACCATATATCCTGGGCCTTTTATCTTTATGGGCCGTAATACCATATCCAACAATGTGTATTATGTTAGGAGTTTATGTGTATTCTACTATACAATTCTGTACATACAAAACAGGGAATTTATTGTGCCCTCTGAAGCACGATATTACAATTGGTGCCTTTTGGGGTAGGTATGGTTAGGACGAAATCCACTATTAATGTTGATTAGTACACATTTCAACCTACTCTATTTAGTACTAGTGAAACACAAATTAAATATAAGAGGGAAGGATGAGGTCGAGAAGTTAACTAAGGGTGAATAATTTGGTCCGGAGGTGAACTAAAGACCAGAAATGATGGGGTTGGAGAGCTCCCATTGAAGTGGCTTAGGCTGGGAGCCAAAAGTCCTCTTCACAGTATTGGTGCCCCGGACAGTGATTATTTATATATCAATATAGTACTTCAATCTGCACCATTGGTGGATCGGAGACAGTTTTACAGATGAGAGAAATATTAAAACAATATTTTAAGAGCACCTTCATCTTTTTATGCAATGTTTGGAGGGTTGTGGACACACCCACTCAATACTCATTCATTGAGAAAACTAAACAATTAAGCAGATCTGACTAATTTGAAAGAGAGAGAGAGAGAGAATACTTTGAATTGAAAGAGAGATCTATCAAGATGGCTTGTGTTGCTTTGACTTCTCTGATGGCAACAATTAAGCTAGAGTTTCTGCAACCAAATCCAAGCAGGGTTCCTCTTGATAATAAAGGGTTTATATCAATGAAATGTTTCTATGAAGACCTTTCATCTTTGCAAGATTTTGTGCAGGAGAAATCCGAGGGAGGGGGTGGCACTGCAATCAGAGAACTGGAGATACAGATGAGAGACTTTGCACTGGATGCCGAAGACCACATTGAAATACAACTAAGCAACTTTCTTCTGGCCAAAAACGGGGAGGATCAACAAAAAGCTTATCAGCAACTCCATCAAACCTTGGGAGAAGCAGCAGAAAAAGCAGTGGAGTTGCTGGCAAAAAGCAAGGAAACTGAAGTGGTGAATGAAAGTGAAGGAGCACTGATTCCTTGGTTAAAACATGATTCGGCTTCGGAGCCCAGCAATGTTATGGTCGGTCGTCACCGTGATCGTGAGCTGATAATGAACAAATTCATTTCGATGTGGTCGTTTCTTACAGAACTAAAAGTGGTCTCAATTGTTGGGATGCACGGCATTGGGAAAACAACTTTAATTAGTAGTGTCTATCAAGATCCAGATGTTGCATCGTGTTTCGTTGTACGAAGATGGGTTTCTATGCCTGTGGCTGGGGGATTCAATAACGTGAGCCAACTGCTACACACCCTTCTTTGGACACTACTAGCAGAGGCAGATGATGAAATTAAAAAGGGAATCATTCCTGATGATGATCTAGCAGCTAAGCTGGTATACAAATGCTTGAAAGGTAAGAGATATCTAATTGTTTTGGATAACTTATGGAACAATCAAGCTTGGTTTGCTATCCGGAATTGTTTCCCTGATGATACAAATGGAAGTCGTATAGTGATAACCACTACACAGGGGAATTGTTATGATTATGATTATGTTCATAACATGACTTTACTAAATCCAGAAGAAAGTTGGGCTTTGTTTTGTAAAAATCCTTTTCTGGAATTGAAAAACCATATGGCAGCACCTAAATTTGAAGAAATTAGGAGCCAAGTTGTAGAGATATGTGAAGGATTGCCGTACTCAATTCTTGTAGTTGCAAAACGTCTATCTAAGTGTGACAACATAAAACAAGAATGGAAGAAGGTTCAAAAGGAAATAGAGTTGCTTGGAGTTCTAGATAGGAAAGCACTGACCCACACTTACAATCAATTGTCACAACACTTAAAAGTTTGTTTTCTATATTTTGGAGTCTTCCCAAAACGCAGTGCAATCAAAGTGAAACTACTTATTAGGTTATGGATTGCTGAAGGATTTATTAATTCGTTGGTGGGCCGCCAAAGGTTAGAAAGTCAAGCTTATGAGTATTTACAAGAGTTCATTGATAGAAGTCTTATTCTAATTGACAATTGGAGTTCTTCTGGAAAAATTAAGAATTGTAGGATGCATAGTGCCTTGCATACCTTTTGTGTAAGAGAAGCTCAGAAAGAGGGCATTTTTTGTGCTTTAAATACTCTGCAACTTCCACGAGGATCATTTGGCATGTTTGCAAATTCATGTCGCTGGTTAAGCTTATACACACATAAATTTGACTATTATGTGTTGTTAAGAACAAACAACCCTCGCTCCATTTTTTTCTTTCAAGAAGATGCTGAAATATCTGTATCTTTCGAGTTGCTAAGAGTTTTGGCTTTTGTTCCATCTTCATTTCTTCAAAGAGTGCCAGCACGCTTACATGATTTAGTGTTTTTGAGATACCTATCTGTTACAGAATGGTTTGAGGGTCTTGATTATGTAGTGTCAACCAATCAAAACTTGCAGACACTTGTCATTTCTAGTAAAGAGTCCCAACGTGGAACACCTACTATCCATTTGCCTTCAACAATTTGGAAGTTACCGCAGCTACAACATCTTGAACTTGACAATTCTTATGTGATTGATCCTCCAAGCATGGATAAAGATAATATGCAAACATTATCTTGGGTGTGTTCATCAACTCATTATAGAGCAGGAGTATATTGCAGGTTTCCAAACATTGAAAAATTGAAAGTCTTTGTATTTTGCAGCAATCCTATTATTTTGGATAATCTTGAATATTTGGAACGCCTTAAGAGTTTATCAATTTCAGTTTTGTTTGGTTGCGTTGTAACCCTTCCAAAGCCATCTATGTTTCCTTCCCAACTAAAGAAGTTGAGTTTGAAGGGTACTAACCTTTCAGAGAGGGATTTAAAGGCAATTGAAATGTTGCCTAAGCTTGAGACTCTCAAATTAGAAAATGCCGTTCATGTAAAAGTATGGAAAGTAGAAAAAGGATTTTTTCAATTAGAATTTTTGCTTCTTGAAAAAAATATGCTCAAGCAATGGATGATCGATGATGAATCCTTCCCACATCTTAAGCACTTAGTCTTAAGATTTTGTTATTGTTTGCAAGAAATCCCTATGGCTATGAAAAATATTGATACCTTGGAGTCAATTGAGTTGCAGCGGTGTTGTCCGTCCGTTATCACTTCTGCAAAGTGGATACAAAAATGGCAACAAGATCATTATCGAAACTTTATTTTAGAGGTTAGAAGCTACCTATTTATATTTTTACATTTCCATATATTTTTCTATTCAATGCTTACAAAATCATCTCATCTTTATGCTGCTATTTCTCCGATCCTTCTATTGCAATTTTCTCCCAGTCTGATCTCATCTAATTTTGCATTCTCTTTTTCATATAGCTCAAAATCATTGGAGAAGAGTCTATACCTTCTCAGATGATGAATGACAAGCTAAGGTATGGATGCGAGAATTGAATCACAAAATTTGGTTGCATGTTATCTGTCCTTTCTCACTGCATATATGTTTTCATTCTTATATTAGTTATTATGCATTTATTTTTCTATTCATGCTAATTTCTTTACTTTACAAAACCTATTGCAATTTTCTCCCTCTCATCTCATTTTGCATTCTCTTTTTTCATATAGATCAAAATCAATGGAGAAGATGTATATACCTTCAGATGATGAATGACAAGCTAAGGTATGGATCCTAGAATTGAAAGAAAAAATTTGGTTGCCAACTATATATACATACATACAAAAATCGCACCGGAGTTAAACTACTATGGATGCTCTAATGGATCTACGGGGCATATGGTTGATGAATGTCTAAAACTAATGCTTTTTCCTTGCACATTTTGATATTTTTACTGGTTAATCATTATATTATGGAGCCAATTTGGTAACTTATGGAATGATTGTTTGTGCTTAGGTGACTTGACAAGAAAATGATGTTTTGAGCCAAACATTGAGTTATTTGATCAAGATTTCAAGTCATCATAGCATGAGGATATTTTTGTGAGGCAAAATGAAGAAAAGAAGATTGAACAACACTCTTTCATGTGCTAAATATTTGTGCCTTAGTGGTCTTGATGATATAGGTAATTCAATGCAAAGGCAAAGCAAAAGATAGTAAGGTGGCATTTCTCGCCCAGATTGGCGCTGTCTCCGTATTTTGACCATATTTCGGTCAAGGAGTATCCAAATCAAGTGATTTTTATATCATTCGAAAGCTAACTTCAAGGGCTACAACTTTGATGAAGACAACAAATGCTAATTCAATGGTTTTGGGGGTGAAAAATAGCCTAGAAGTCGGAGCAGGTGCACAGATTTCGTCTGTGGCACACCCGTGGCCACTGGGCAGTATACGCTGCATTTCTGGCCACGGGTGAAGCCACACCCGTGGCCAGCCTCTGCAACCCAAACCAGACCCGTTTTTGCCCTTTAAAAGAGGATTTTTTTCACCCCAAAAACACACTTTTCATTTCCCTTTCACTCTATAGCTAGGGTTAACTTTAGAATAGCTTAGATAGGTGTAGATTGGTTGTTTCTTTCCATTTCCAAGCTCAAGAACATTGCAAATCTTGGATTTCAAGGCTTCAATAGAGAAGTTTTCTTATTCATCTCTTCTCTTTACTTGGATTATTTGGGTGATCTAGGGTCCTTGTGCTTATTGTACCACCATTTCCCCCCTCGTGCTTTATTTTCTTTCACATCGAGGACGATGTAGCCTTTAAGTGTGGAGGAGGGGATAATTTGGGCGTTTTCTTAAAAAAAAAATGAACTTTTTGAAACCTTGCTTGGATGACTCATTCTGTTTTGTGTTGAATAAATTGCCTTTATATACTTGAATTTGTGATTACTCCCCTTTGTTGGTTTGTGGTTTGCTTGGTGGAACTTGTTACAATGCAACTTGTGATTGATGAGTCAAGGTGTTACACATGATTGATCTATTCCCTTTGTAACACCCCGTGTTACGGCCTTCAATCCCGGATTAATTATTTAATTAATCCCGTTAATAATAATTAAATATGATTTAATTCGGTTATGTTTCCCTTTAATTAATTAATAAGGCCCACCATGAACCGTGGGCCCTTGCCTAAATTAGAGCCTTAAGCCTATTAGGAATAAAGAAAGTAAACCTTTTACTATTCAGATTCTGATTAGGAATCCTAGACCTAGTTATCTATTAGGAATAAAGGAAGTAGGTCTTTTACTATTCAGATTATGATTAGGATTCTCTTTAATTAATTAATATGGTCCACTATGGACCATAGAACCCAATCCTTAGTCCCAAAAGGAATAGAATTAGCAAGCCTATAATATTAGTTCCTAATTAGGACTCCTAAATATATAAATAGGGGACTTAAGAGGCACCTAGAACCCCCCATCACAATAAACGACTCACCATCCCAAAAGAGCTCCAAGAATTCCCTTAAAAGAAATCAAGAAAGCAAGAAAGCTTAAAGAAAGACCCTTCATAGCCAAGGAATTAATTAAGGCTAAGAGGTAACCCATGTCTCAACAAAACCTATTTTCATAGCTATGATTTCCCCCTTAGGGTTTCCCCATATTATTGTGTATTAATGACTTGTGATGATTATTGTTGATGATTGATGTGATGATCCCATGGGGGATCTTGATAATCTTGATATTGGGAGATTCTTGATAATTATGATATTCTTGATGATTATATGGAGTTCTTGATGATTATGTGTTGTTCTTGATAATTGGGTGATGCTCTTGATGTTTATGTGTTATTCTTACCGAATCTTGCAATTAGAAGACGAACCGTATTCTTGTTAATATAAAAGTGATTAGAACCCTAGGTTGTATCGTATGATCTTATTCTTGGATTATCGGGTGGGGAAATCGCATGTTTGGGCGTTGATTATATTTAGAAAAGCATGATAGGTTGTGTGCCGTTCGTTTCTTGTATTTGATTCGTTAATTGTCTACGTGTTGTCGTTAATTACGTTGTAAAGTGTCTGAGCATGGTTTCGGGTTCCACAATTGTTCCCGGGGCGAAATTGTGTGATAAGAGTCAGTGGGGGGTAGGTGGGGGGGTAGGGGACCCGCCACCTACCCACGGCCGAGATTTCACTTCCGGCAGCGGGCAGCCGGCGGGCAGGCAGCTGCCCGCCGGCGACCCGCTGCCCGGAACAGTAAAACCGGCGGGCAGCCGGTGGGTGGTCCCCACCCACCGGCTACCCGCTGGAAAATTCCCCCACCCGGGAGTTCGGCTTCCCCGTTTGATGTTCCCTCGATCCCCGTGGTGTCCCAACGGACTCCATTTATCGTGCCTATGTCTAGTTTGATATTTCGGGGACCGTTCGTAGGTTTACGAGTCTACTATATTGCATGCTAGTTGAATTGGTATCCCGTTGACCTAGGTGGAAGGAGTATGAACCCCTTAGGACTTTTCTTAGTATGTGAAGGATCACGCATAGGTTTTGTTATACGCTTTCTCCCCCTTCCCAATATGTAATGTGGGTTGCATGTGCTTGCTATGTGATATGTGTGTGTGTTACCCCAATTCGGTTGCGATCGGATTGGTTATCCTGAGCTGCGGTTCAGAAGCTGGCTGCGGTCAGATTGATACTCTTGGGCTGCGGTCCACCGTTTGGTTGCGATCAAACGTTTCTATACGAGCTGCGGTTCGTCTTCTTTCCTGGCTGCGGTCAGATGACATTCTCCTGGGCTGCGGTCCACTATTTGGTTGCGATCAAACACTATGATGAGCTGCGGTTCATCGGTCGGTTGCGATCGACCCCTCCGTATTGCGATACGGGGCAGGGTGCTGCAGGGCCGTGTCAGAGCTATATGCGCTGACCCTCATGTATGGGCATGCGATTGGTCCTGTGGCGCCAACAAAGTGCGCTATGTGTTGTGATATGGATGAGTGGTGATCATGAGTGTCTTGGGGGATGTGACTATGGGATTTATGTTGGGGATTGTTTATGTTGGGTTGTGACTATTGTTTATGCTTTGCCTTATCTGTCTTATCTGTTGTGAACTGCGTATGTTGTTATAACTGTTGCTCGTGTCTGGCCTTATCTGTCGACTCATTCCCGGTTTTAAAAGCTAGAGTTCGTAGGATATATCTTCATGCTCAAAATGGTTTTCGTATATCTATATATATCTCTATATGTATTGTATTTCAACGCGTTGGAGTGGGTTACCAGCATCTCTCGCTGAACAGATATATTTGGCTTTCAGGCACAGAAGAATAAGTCACTGGAGCGCGCTAGAACTTGGAACGTAGAAGTAGATAGTTTCCCTTTTCGGCCTGCGTGCCATGCTTATGCCTTTACATTATTGAGGATATTAGTTAGTTAGCCTGTGCACCTGAGTTCTCTAGCTCAGGTGTGGCATAGCACCCCATACTCTTGTATTATGTTTTGGGATTTAATGGGATTTCACCTTTATTTTATAAGTTTTGAATTTCTTGAAAATCTGGGGTGTTACAGTTGGTATCAGAGCTTAAGTTTGACCCTAGGATAAGACTCTTAAGACCGGACTTTAGGACACTAGGCTTGAACTCTAAGTACTTAGGAACATAGGATCCAGGAATCTTAGGACGCGCAGTAAGATTGTGAAACCTACACATAACCTCCCCTCACTTCATCCCTCTCTAACTTAAAGGAACCTCCCCCTACGCTTACCACACCAGGTAAGGGTGCGAATAGATAAGTTTACTTCAACAACTGGGTAACGTACACTTACCCGATAAATCGCCTCGTCCTAACTCCCGTCAAAAGACTTGACAAGGGCCCTGACCAAAGAAAAGGAAGATTTGGATGACTACTAAGAAAAGGCGTTACAGTCAGGACTGCTAAAAGGTACGGACTGCAATACGCACCAACCCAGGGTAACCACGATAACTAGGGATGTCAATTTAGCCCTGAACCAATGGGCTAACCCAATAAACCCTAAAAATTGCAGGGCTAAAATCAAAAAAGATCAATCCAATAAAAAAGTAAGCTCATTGGGTTGGTCCTATCGGGTTATTGGATTGAGTTGGGCCAACCCATGGATTGTTAAGCTGGCCCGTGTAATATCCAATCATTATTGGATGAACCTAGTCCATACAACTTGTGTGGACTATGAATTTAGGGTACATTTTGAATATGCTAAATGTACATTATTTTTGTATTGAAGGTACATTATTTGATAGTATATATAAAATAATGTACTTTTATACAGTACACACATTATATATACACTACACACACACACACTATATATATATATATATATATATATATATATATATATATATATATATACACTACACACCCACTGTACACACACACACGGTACTCACACACACACTATATATATACTACATACCCACTGTACACACACACACACTATATATATATATATATACACACACTCTACACACACACACTATATATATATATATATATATATATATATATATATATACACTACACACACGCTGTACACACACACACACTATATATATACACACTACACACACACTGTACATGTACACACACACTATATATATATATATATATATATATATATATATATATATATATATATATATATATATATATAGTGTGTGTGTGTGTGTGTACAGTGGGTGTGTAGTGTATATATATATATATATATATATATATATATATATATATATATATATATATATAGTGTGTGTGTGTGTGTGTACGTGTACAGTGT